CTCTCTCTCTCTCTCTCTCTCTCTCTCTCTCTCTCTCTCTCTCTCTCTCTCGCAAAGTGGCAAAGTGATGCACACATAAATCATAAACTTGCTCCTGGTCTTTGCTGGTGTTTTGCCGATACAACCTTTTTCACAGTTGCCTGTCCCCGTAGGATTATAATGCGATTGTGCGGCCGTGGCGCGGCCGCGTTTTTCCGCATAATTCTGCAACATTTGCATAATTTTGAATTCTCCGCGGGTTTTCACGCTTTTTCCCCCAAAACAATTAACGCCTCGCCATGTGACTAAAGGGACGTAATCACCGTAATAAGTCTCATTTAAGTGAAAAGTTGGTTATTTCCCCTTGTTAGAAGATCTTGGGTTTTGTGATTTTGTTCCTTGGGGATGTTCAATTTTTCCATCCATCAAAAGTCGTTGTTCTCTTGTCTGCTGATGTTTCGTGTTTGACAGGTGTCCCTGGTTTTAGTAATGTGCCAGCATCAGAGGTCCAGATGTCCTTTTTTTTTTTTTTTACATTTTTCTTTCCTCTATAGATCTAGATCTAGATCTACAGCTGAAAGTTACAGAGATTATATTTTGTGGTTGTTTTTTGTTGTTGTTGTTTTTTGTTTTTTTACTGATGTGTATTGTTTTCTTTTCCAAATACACAACAAATTAGTAATACTGACATGTTCTGTTTTCAATTTTTCTATACATAAAACAAGAAAATCATGAAACTTTGGGTTGAAAAAGTGCAAAACATGTCGTGAATGGTTACGGTAACTTGCATAATTTTGCTCTTTTTTTGTGCATAATTTGGCCTTCTAAATTTGCATAATTCTACGGGGACAGAACAGTTGCAAAGCTGTTCATACTACTGATCCATCCGTTTGTGAAACTCAAGCACCAGTAAATTCCTGTAAAATGCCCTACCAAGCTTTTTTTTTTCTTTCAAAATAAAATAATGTAACTGTAACTATCGCACATTTGAATCTGCCACTGCTTTCATCAGATCAGAGCAACTTACCTTCCGTGTGATATGTATCTATCGACCGCCACCTTACAAGAAAAATTAATATATACAAGTAAAGAATTCTTCATAGAATTCCAAGATCTACTCTTTTAACTAGAGCGAGCTGCCTCCCCCTTTTACATCATAGGGGATTTCAACTTTCACTTTGATGTTCCATCTGTACCAGACACCAAACGCCTTGTTTCAATTCTTGACGATCATAATCTAAAGCAGCTAATCAAAGAGCCGACACATCGTAGTGGTCACATTTTAGACCTGCTAATTACCAACACTGCTGACCCACATGTTCTTAAACATCAGGTTTTAAATAAGGCTATCTCTGACCATTCTCTTCTAATAGCTGACATCTCCAAACCAAAACAAGTAAGAAGAAGCATACTTTCAAGAAACACGAGAACAATAGACACACAGGCACTTCGGGACGACGTGAGCAAAACATTGACAAGTCTACCATCCCTAAATGCAGACACATTTCATGACACTCTGAAAGCGGCAATCGACCAACATGCGCCAACGGTAAAAAGAAATATTTCATATAGACCCTTGTCTCCGTGGTTTTCACTTGAAATCAAAGAAGCCAAGCAACATCGACGTCAGGTAGAACGCAGGTGGAGGAAATCAAAACTTCAAGTTCACAGAGACATCTTTATTAACCACCGAGACAAAGTCAACTCAGTCATCGAAAATAACAAGAAAAGATACTATCTAGCCTACATGAATCACAAAATGTTAAATCACCCAAACAACTCGTTCAGACTACCAATGCTATTCTGGGAAAAGAAACAATATCTCCTCTCCCCTCTGCAACATCAGATGAC